CTTTTAATTCATATGCAGACTTTGATCTTTCATATTTTTTTCCTGGCATTAGCATTTTTTCTGTGACCTGTGCAAGAAACACAGCCCAAGCTGAGAATGTCTAATCCTTGCTGATGCCTGCATACGTTGACTTATCCTGAGCTATATTTTTCTTGATTTCTCTGATATATTCAACATCACAATCCCCATATGGTTACTGCTTCTTTGTGTATTCCAGTGGGAGTTTATCTTTTGCTTTTCAAAGGTTTGCCACAGAGACTATCCTTAGTGGAACATCGTTGTGTGCTTGGTTCATCTAATTAACCTCCCTAGTTAGAGATGCATCAGGGGCTCTTTGTTAAATTGAGGAAGGCTTTTAAAGTTGAATATCTGAATACTGAAAGCTGTAGAAACACCAGAGTGAAGAGAAGGCATCATATATTGAAGAGGAGCGTTCAAAGATGGGAGCTATCGCAAGCAGGCAGCTTTGACTTCTTACTACCTGCAGCTGACCATGCCTTGATTTCCATGGCAAAACTTGGGGAATCACAGTAAAGAGACCTCCTCTCCCCCTGAAGTGACCAGAAATATTTTCTTCCATTACAGCAAATTTACAACATGCTACATGCTCAAGGTTCTTTGCTGAGCTATTGCAGTAATGTAGTACTGTGTCACAGTTCCACCCATGCAACATCAAAATATGAGAGTTTATTAATGATACTAGCAAGTCAAATCTGGGTGCTCAGAAGGTTTTTAATAAAAGAAAAAAACAAAACAATTTAAAACATATTGTTCATAACAAAGCACTTGTCCTGCTATCTCACTTATCTTTTCCTGAAGACCATGCCTTTTCACAGCATCATACCGGGGGGATGTCCACGTTAGCGATGTAGTGATTCTAGTGGGAGAGAACAAGTGCATCGGCCTGCTGGAGGCTCATCTTGCAGAGGGCAACAGGAGTCAGTGAAGCCAGCAAGTCACGCTGACAACTCCTAAAACAGAGTCCAAAGAAATGCAAACTAGGTGGGACTCTTCAGGACAGGAGCAACACACTGCTCCTATGCAATGGTTTCCAATGCTGAAGAAGAACCAATTCAGACCACAGCTGAAAAAAAAAAAAAACACAAACCAAAGTAGGTGCTGCTTTTTCCAGTTCCTAGTAGACATGTCACAGCACAGCACAGTATGGTTTATTGCATTAAATGTTTATCATGCAGATGTCTATTAGATTTTTCTATTCTTAGCCATAGTAATAAAGGAGTTTCATATAATGTCTTATTACAATAGCATCAGATGTTGGAAAGCAACACTGTGAAAGATGTCACCATGATTTTGAGAGGTACAGTGTATGTGTATCATCAACAAAGATGAATTAATGCTAGCAAACATTAGTGTGAGAAATTTATTACCTTAACTGCCTTTGGAGTATCTCCATGTGGTTTCAAAACAGAAAATACATAAACAACTGTCATGTTCTGCCCCTCAACCCCCAAATCCACTCTTCTTCCTTTCTCCCTCCTCCTGTTAGTCAAAATCTGGCAGATGATGGGTACCCAAAGGCTGTAAATCAGGAAAAGGTATATTCTAAAGTCTGTGGCATATGCAGTATTTATAGTTATTCCCCATACTCTATTATACTTCACACCTCTAAAGCATCAGATATACAGTAGCATTAAGATAACAAAAATAGGAATAGTAGAGTAATAAAAACAATTTTAAAAAACCCTTCAGAGTTTCTTCTGAGAATAATCAACGAGTTATAGATATTGATTGTACAACTACTGCTGTATAAGCCTGTCTCACTCTTCACCCACTTTCCAAGATAAATAAGGCTACAGACGTATGAATATATGCACATGTGTGTATGAAAAAATGCAGACGCGCACACACCCGAGAGACCTTTGATCCAGCTCCCCAAGTCTCTCAGCTAACTGGCAAATACATATCAAAGCTCTAACAAAGTAGCTAAAACAAGCAAAGACCATGTATTCTATTTACCCGTGGTTTCTACTCTTCCAATTCTGCCTCACACAAATCACAGTATTTGGCAATGTTCTCGCACAGTGTGAATAATCGCTGTAAATCCTGGAGTTCTGTATTAAAGTTACACAGTAAGCGCCGGTGCATTACACACTAAATCACGGAGTTTTACCGAGGAAGTTGCAGTATCAGCTGCTTTCCTGCATTGTTTGTGTTAGTGGGGAGTGTTCATCGGTGATCGATAAGGTCAGTTTGTGCGGCTGTGGTCACTGCCCAGAGACTGAAAATGCAGTGATTTCTCAGAAGTTCTTTCTGCTTCTTGCTGTCCCATGTCACCTGGAAAATGAACTCTGGCAAAAGCAATCAGAAGAGTGGCACAGCCAGTGTGGATTCTAAGCACATTTGAGAGAGACTTTTGATCTCTTAACTGCACAATTGTCTGGTTACTACTTTATTTACTCTTAATGAAAACTGTTGTGGAATTTTCTGCCTGGGCACTCAGGTACCATAGGAATGAGCGCTGCCTGTGCCTAGCTAGATTAGATAGGCATAGCGAGTTAAGAGTGTTAAACTCTATGGCTGAATCAACATTAGTTTCTATAATGTAGAATTACAGAAAATGCTTGGAATAAAACCCCGTGTAAAATCAGAAGGAAATACCAGTGTTCCAGCAACGGCAAAATCAGGTGTCTGAGAAAGACAGAAACAGTGGAACACGTATGGCTTGAAGGCAACCTCTTTCCCAAAGAGATGGTATTTTCGCAAGACAAAGGGATCTTTAAACACTCAAGAAACACTATAAAAAGCCTCCTGAGCTAATGACTTCGGTTTTTAAGTCATGTTTGTGGTGAAAACACTCTTCTGATCAGTTAGCTGGGTGGAGAGATTTGTCTTTACTTATATGGGTGACAGCCTACTAGCAGATCCGTATAACTAAAATATTGTAAAAACATTATGCTGATAGTCTTTGCTCATAGTTCGCCCACCTGCAATCTTTAATTCCAAGTCTAACCCAGAATCCTTTGTATGAGAAGTAAAAACTGGTGGAGATGTGCATTAATAAAGGCCCGTGAAATTCAGAATCATTGCCATGTTACGTTTTCTTCTTTTTTATGTGTTTTTTAAGTCACCTCAATGTATTCTAAACACCTCTACAGTGCAAAACATGTTATGGGATTCCTGCCTCAAGGAACTTGACATCTAATTTCAAACACAAAATAATAGGTAAGGTAGCAAAACAATAGACAGGTCTGTGTCAAAGCACTTAAGTCTGTGCAAAGCAAATGAAAAAGAAGTTGATTTTTATATACCAGAGACTAGATTATGAATTTAAAGGGATTTGCCCAAATGTCTATTACATGAAAATGGAAACCATAGAACAGTGGTCTCTCTCAGTAGAAAACATAGTTTCCTGTTTTCATTGTAGTTTTAAATCTAGAGAAAGCAGCCAGTATATTCCATCCTGGGATGGCCTTTACTGAAGATTTGCTGCAACTATCCGACAACATAAGAAACTGAACCTGGGGTGCTGGGGTTTTTTTCATTCATACCTAGAGGCAAAAGAGATTGTAACAGCTGTCTTTCACTATTGTATGTCTGTGTTTCAATTACTGTTTTGTCTAAATTTCCCTTTAGCAGGATTTAGATTACCAAACAAGATTTATGGCTTCACTAAGGAAAAAAATCAAGACATTTACAGAAGTCTGTGTATTTATACTGATGCTCAGCCTGGTGTGCTTCCACTAAACAGCACAACTAAATTCAGTCAGGGACTAAGAGTTACAATTTGCGCAGGTGGGAAGGAACATTTATGTTCAGGGAAAAAACTGCTGAGAGCGGGAAGAGAAACCAACAAGTGAAACAGGGCATTTAGATTAATAAATTCTAAGCTCTGCAAACTTTTTGTCTCCTCCTTCCTGGCTCTTGCTACTACTCTTTTGGGCAATCATTTTATGACATGCATTTGGTGCAAGTCTCCCTTTGGCACTGGTAGGTGTCAGGAAAGTGGCTATCCCACGATATAACCAGGAGGGATCAATATGGTATCTCAGTTTGGTGACAAACTGTTCTACCGTGAATGGAGTTGCTTAAACATACCCAATAAACTTAGCTGAAAGGCTGTCAGGGCTGACAATCACTGAAATCAGAAGAGCCTTGGACTTTGTGAGAATCTTTTTGCTTGACAAGTGCACTAATTCATGATTGAAGGAAATGAGGATGCTCAGCACACGAAGCAGAGTGGGAGGAAACTGCTGGCATGATTAACAGCTGGTAAAAATATGAACTTGAAATAATTGCACTGTTCTCCATGTTCATGGCCTCTTTCTATTCGTGCTGTACTCTTCTTTTGATGACAGAAAGAGAAGAGGCTAGCCCACCGGCTAGCCTGAGATCCGTAGGAATTAATTTTGTGGACTCTGATCAAGAG